TAATACACCGTATTGATATATTGGTTGTATAAACTGGTGTTAAATTCTAATGAGAACAGATGAGCTGAGAAACTGTCTTGTTTGAATAAAAAAATGGATATGAATCGATTGTATTTTTTTTCTTACTGATTCAACATGTTGGTTGAAGGTAACATCTTGATCCAAAATTAATCACAGGTATTTAACTGCACTTTTAAGTTCTATCGTGTTTTGGTTCCAGTTAAAACTTTCAAATTTTTTTTTCATTTGTGATCATTATTTGTGTTCTTCCTTTGTTTGTTGCAAATTTATTACTTTCCATCCATTCGGATATTAATTCCAAGTCTGTTTTAAGTTTTTTAGTTTTATTGTGTGTTCGTGTTGAGCATGCGTAATGACGATTTAAAAAAAAATGACAAAGTATTCAAAAATCAATGATTCTGTTAGATACTCTGAAACAGAAGTTTTTTGCTAAGCAGTACTATGATAGATAATGAAGGTTGATATGCTTTTCTTTCTGTCCGCTGTCAAATTATGTTTCGAATACAAAAGATGAATGGTATTGTACCTGCAGTAGAAGTCTCTTTTGGAGTGGACTCTGATGATCTCACAGGATCTTCCTCGGGTGTCCCTCCTCTCAGTGGCCACACAACCAATTCCAGCAATACCAACCCGGACTCTGATCAAATCATCTGGGATAATTTTTACATCTCCGATGTCTTGCACATGTTGGGAGTGGGTAATGACTGTATTTGTACAAGTGACAGATTCTGGAATGAATATTTGTCCATTAATCATATTAATTTTCAGAACATTGAATTCAATAATACCTTTTCAACACAGCGGCGAAGCGGAGTTTCGCACCACTTGCGATACAACACAAACATAAAAATTGAAAAATCTAGGGGAAACAAAATTCTCGTTTGTCTTGATAAACAAAAAAAATGGAGCCCAGCTAAAGTGGGAGGTACGTGTTTGTGTTGAATGAATTTGCTCTACTCGTACGGCACGAAAAATGGGATTTAAAAAATTGGACTTTGCCCGAAACCTTAGTAGTTTCTCTACAGAAATAAAGTGAGAAGAGTAAAAAATTTTGAGATAATCAATTTTCCCAAGGAAATAACATTTCTCTTAAAAAACTAAATAGTCCCTACTTCTGCAGGAACCATTATTACAACCGGTTCATTCAATTGAACTTTTTTTCTTAGATTTGATCTGTAATATTTGAGAAAATTCAAAAAGATTCTAAAAAACGGTCAAAAGGCCCACAAAAATATCAGAACGATTTCCAAAATCCATTTTTTCCGCAAAAAGCAGGATGTGGCTGTTTAAGGAGAAACTAAAACTGGGTTTCTCGGTTGGAAACAGCCTGAAAACTAGCACGGTAGTTTTCGAGTAAAGGAAAAACTTTCCAAAAAATGTTGAAGTTTGAAAAAAATTGGCTTGTTTGAAGGCCATAAGTTTTTTTAATAAATAAACGGGGCATAGTCAGTCATAAAGAAGCATAGTCTAGGCTTTCAGAAATCTGTTGCTTCGATTAAACCTATGATATCAGATTTGGCAGACTAGTTGGCAAAAATAGTCCAAATAAACGGTCAACAAATCAAAAATTTGACATTGCCGAGAATCATAACGTTTTGCGCGAAAAAACAGTGCATAGCCGCTTCGACAAAAGGAATTCACGCAACCTGTAATTTCCATTGAACCCAAAATCTTAGATGTAGGAGGATTGGTTTTCAAGAAAGCTCAAAAACCTAAAAAAAAGTAGAAAAAAAATAAAAATTTTGACTATTTCGAAGGCCATAATTTTTTGGGTGTAATCAAATGAGCTTCCCATAATCCGTTCGTTGAACTGAACCTAAAACCTCAGATATGGCAGGATAGTTTTCGAGAATATTCAAAAAGTTGACTTTTCCGACGGCAATAACATTTTAAGTAAAAAATTTTGTGAGTGATCGCTAAGGCAGGGGAGCTTCTCACTACCCCTTTACTCCATTGAACCCACAAAATCAGATATGATAGGTTAGTTTGGGAGAAAAGTCAAAAAGATTCAACAAAACAGTCAAAAATTAAAAATTAGACTATTCCGAAGGCCATAAGTTTATGTGTTAAACAATTTTGTGTTAAACAATTTATGTGTTAAACAATTTTGTGTTAAACAATCAGGGGGGAGCTTTTCAATACCATTCCAATATTTGAAAGCAAAAATACAGATTTGAGAGGGGCAGTTTTCAAGAAAGCTAAAGAAAAATCAAAACTATGCTACAATTATTCCCCACATAAATTTTGAAGGCTATAGACAGAGGGTCAAGTAAAAAGAGATTCCATGCGAGTATTCAGCCACAAAATGGAGCAGGCGGTCTTTCATTTCATACCCTTTTTTGAAAATCAGTAGAAGTTTGTGAGAAAAATGAAACTTTTCCCATAAATTTGGAAATAAAGTTCCATAATGAAAAAGAATTCAGCAAACCGATTGGTAAACATACAACTAATTTGTGTTTCCCTGAAATCGACCCAAAATTAAGTCATTAACCCGATAAAAAATCATAAAAAATAATAAGAAATAATTTGGGCGAAAGGATAAGAAATAATTTTTGGGCGAAAGGATAAGAAATAATTTTTGGGCGAAAGGATTATAAGCTGATATAATTAGAGCCGGCAGCCAAAAAGCCAAAAATCTACCCTACAAATACGAAGAAAAAATCATCTTGTCATAACGTTTACCGTAACCGACAACTAGAGCCTCCATATCATCCTTACATAAAAAACGTAAAAAGTTACCACTTCTTATTTTAGCCATTCAGTGAACATAAAAAATGATTGTAAAAAATTGAAAGAATGTGTATTATCCCCGGTTACCATACTCTTGCTTATCACCAGGAAACATATTGATGAAATCTTCAAATCGTATTTCATATATGTTGACAGAAACTTTCGTATTATACTAGAGAAACTTTCGTAATAAAAATGGTCAAAACTCAAAAAAGAACGGTTTCTCATGAAATGGTTGTGATTTTGCTTTAATACACCGTAAATACAACAAGAGCATTGCAGAAATGATTGAAAACCCGTACTCTAAAAATGACAGAACATTTAATTAGATCATCAGACCTTAGTTTCTGTGTTTTCTGGACAAACTATTTATTTCTCAACTAGCATTAAAAATAAACAATTTATACAAAAATAAACTTAAATTATTCCACCGCTCAACCGAAACGAGATGAAAATTGATTCTGCACGCTTTGAGTATACACAAAAGTCGTAGCGACCTAAGGCAAACTAAAATTGGTTATAAAAGTGTTATTTTGCTTACAATCAGGTTTTGTGGCCTGGTGGTTAAAGTTCTTGTCTAGCTAAAGTAAGAACGAGGTCTCAGACCCCAACAACAGATTTTTTTTCTGACTAAAAACAATCTAGGTTAAGCCAATTTCCGACCAAAAATTAGATGAAAAATGAAGAAATGTAGGAAAATCCCTGCTTTATTTAAACAGTTCATTAGAAAGTTAGGACCCTAAACAATCGGGTAATTGTTCAAATCAACTGCTTAAATAACGATTCGAGTTAAATATTTCGAGTAATTCTAGTAAAGTATTGGCCAGAAAAAAAAGAATTTTTTTGGTACGGAAAGCTGAACGCTAAACTAGGAAAAAAGCAAAGAATGTTTTGAAATTATTGAACCATATTAAAATATCGAAATCAGTGCAAAAACTAAACACAACAACTATTTAAAAAAAACAGTTGCCACCAACGAGAATCGAATATGTGACCTCACTACAGTGCTAGAATCTAATGTCATCACAACTTCGCTATATCGTCTCTACTTTTCCAAACACCAGCCACCACTAAAAGCGTAACTGGCACGTTCCATTAAGTTGCCAAATAGAATTAGAGCAGTAAATAAATACTGAGAATAAGCGCTAATTTTCCGAGCGTTAATCAACTGGATGAAGCTGCATTACAAATACAGAAAAGCAGTGTAATTAGAAGGACCAAAACACTGCACAAGTAGATCAGAACTTCACAAGCAAGCAAAATTTAATGTTTTCAAAATTCAAATTAGAATTTTTTTGGCACAAATGAATTATTTCAAATCCTCTGAAAAAACCAACTATGCTAGCGTTTCACATAAAACATTATTTAAAAAACATCAAACACTGCGTAGCAATTAACTTAAACATTTTGAAACAGGTCTGAATGTTGCTCAAAATTTTAAAGATTATACATGCCAGTCAACAAAAATATCAGGAATAGTTCACTTGACCATTCTGAGAACCAAAACGTTATAGAGAAAAGTAACGTAAGGCTACTCACTTTATTGAATCTTATATTTTGATTTCACAAGTATGTGCTTTTATTTCTTCAAAAAATAACCGAAAAATAACCGAAGAAAAATAGTTAAGAGTGAGGCAGCAAAGCAGATTTATTGACAACATTTTCCATCGTTTTGAACATAAGCGACGTTCTTTAAAACTAATGGCAGATGTAAGGATCCGAGCTAATTTAGATGCTTACCATTTGATTTGATGATAAAACTGCGATGGACAGTAAAAGAGAATGCAGAATAGCGATCAGTGGTAGGATTGAAGCCTTCCTCGATGCCAGATTGCCACTCCTCTCCACTTTGACTAGTGCAAGTCAAGTGCACGGACACTGGCCACAATAGAGGAGACAGGTAGTCCACTCTCACTGTGGAGCCCACTGCATCCACTCCTTGTAGATCCAGACGACTGGGTTGGGACCGGAAAACCAACTTGTAGAAGCCAGATGCAGAGGAGAAGTAGTGGAGGTGTGCACTGGGGATGTCCCATGAGTCTTTAAATTGCAGATGCAGTGAAGGTAACGAATCTCCTGAACAATCTGTTGTTTTCAGAATTACAGGCGAGTGGAACATTATCTGAAATAAAAACGGCAGAGTCTGTGTAAAATGAATCAATGAGCAAGCACGTTCGAAGAAGACCATTCTTAATTTTTGCGACAGAGTAAATTGAACCTACATCATTAGTTTCAGATTGGCGAATCAAAGCATCTTTTTCTTCGAACTCGACTACCGCTAGATTGAGACAGTGTTCTTTGAGGTAACTCCAATCCAAGCCCTCGTTCGTCTTTCCTATCATTACCCCCCTGGTTCTGAACAAAGACGGGGAAGATACTTTCTTAAAAGAGTCCAGTCGTGACTTGAACCGACTCATGTGCAGAGAGAAGCCAGGTGGAGAAATGAGGAGTTCAAAAGGTACTCTACTCAGCCCTAACAGTATTGTCTGATTCTAAACAAAACCAGGGCTTATCGTTAATATTAGATAGTCAAACTTAGACGCGCGCCAACTTAGATAGTCATATTATTTTTTGATCAAATTAAAAAGAAAATTTACTGGAAAAATAACTGAGCAAAAACAAAACACACATCATACATGTATTAGACAAAACACAAAGAAGTCACAAGAGGTAGGGAGAAGAAAAATTATACGGGCGAAGCGTTACACAGAGTTTCGCAAAACTGACGCTAAAGCGACAAAATAATCAGAAACGAAACGAATATCGTATAATAACCTTCATTTCTTCATTTTTCTGTTATATAGGAAATTGATTTAAAAATATTTCCGGAATGAAATTAAGTCCGTGGTGGCTTTCTCATAGAGTAATTTCGGATAAGGTACACTGTCTGTTCGTCACTCTATCTTATTTTCAGCCGGATAGGTTCGTGCAACTTCTTAGTCTAAGAACAATCTTAATCTTGCTCTTGTATCTCCTAGTCTCAATAGACCAAGAGTGAACTGGTATTATTGCAACGCTTAGAATCAAGAAATAGAATTTAGGAAGAGCAACTGTTTGCTAAGTTAAATTTATTCTTCTTTGGCTGAAACTATAAATAGTTTCAGCCTTACAATTTACTGTAAGTGTTAGTAATGGCTGGTTAATTCTAAGTATTCTACAGAGATAATCTATCAATAATATAATTGCGTATAAATACTTGTTTTAAACTGGTTCCAGGAACAACTACTTGCTCTTAAAATAAACTGCATAAAATTGCTCATAACAAAATCTCAAAATTATCTCTTCTCAACGGTTACAACTTTGAAGGACGATCGTATTTTTTGTCTCACAAAAAGTAATGATCATGTTCACAACATTTTCATATTTAAAAAAAAGAACAAGACAAACTGAAAATAAAAGTTTTAGCTGGACTCAATTGAATATTTTAGAAACTTTTCCATAGCCTATACCTTTTTGATTCCATAGCCTGTACCAAATTTGTCAAGCCGCGTCTCGGATTATCAAAAAATCCAAAAACAAAACAAATTCCAAAAATAGTATTTTTCAATATCAGAAAAACTAGAGGAGAAAAAGCGCCTTTTCATCTCCAGCTCAATTGCAAATTGAACCCTCTCCAAGCTTCAAAAACTTCAATAGCAAAAACAAAGTATTTCTACAGACGATCAGTAGACAAACAATTTCTAATAAACTAAAATATAAATGACATTAAAAATGAAAGTATATTGAACTGCTTAAGGGGTTAAGAATGGTAAAGATAACTTTCGAAACCAGGCAGACCGATAAAATTCGATAAAGGAAAAAAGTTTGCGCAAAATAATCCGACACAATTAAAACCAATACCCAAAAAATCTGAGCGTCGCACTACTTGGTATACAAAAATGAATTATTATGATCAAAATCATTTGAATAAAAAATCAAAAACTAAAAAAACCTTGAAAAAATCAATTCTGTCAGTTACACTTATCAAAATTGCATAAAATATCCAGAACAAAACTACATGCACCATTAGCAACTTTGAAAGGAGCTTTAGGAATGCTAGAAAGAAGCCGAATTTTCAAAACAACTGCTTTCTCTGGGTACTGATACAATTATCTGAAATAGCCAAAAATTTTCAGTTAGCAAAAAAAACAGATCCCGGAAAAAGCACAAAACCACTAGTTAGCAAAAAAACAGTCACGGTCGGATTCGAATCATTGAGTTTAAATTTATCATAAAGCAAGTAAAATAAGTGTATAATTTTCATTTTGTAAGCAAACAGTAAGAACTAATCCAGTAAATCAAAAAAATAGAAAGAAACAATTTCAATAAAAGCCTATAAAATCTCTTCTTTACGCCACAGCATACGAACAAAAAAAGTTCACCATTTTGATAAGCCGCCAGAACTTCAGTCAACAGTCAGTATCGCCGGCAAAAATTAATGCCGAAGTTCAATCGTTATTTAAACAATGGTTGCAAGTTTAAAAAATTCAGAAGGATAAAATGGGTAGTTTCACACATAGGCTAAGCAATCACTGGCGGAACAAAAACTCATGCCACTGATGTGTCAGGTTTGAAACAAGTTTATTGTAAAATTAGCCAAAAATTGAAGAGGAAGGAGACCGAAATATGACTCGAACGCACGACCCTCAAGATTAGAGACGTGCGCATTACCGCACTGTTCACGGCTGCTTATTCAATCGAATTACGGTAAAGCTTCATCCAATACTTTCTTGTCTGAGAGAAAAAAAAAGACAAAACAGAAAATTAAAAGAAAAATCAAAACAAAAAAATTGCCCGTCCTAAAACAGCATATCGAAAATTTTCAACAAAAAATCATCTACGCTTCTTGCAACTCAAATACCTGCACCAGTACAAAAATAAATCAAATGTACTTTGAAAGTTTTTAAAAATTGCAGTAACAAACAATAAAATTCAAGCTGTAGTGACAAAAATAAGAAGACAGACGATAAGCCGACCATGATTTTTTCAAGCCTGAAAAATTCAATTTGCGAAAAAAACAGGTCCTGGCCAGATTAGAGCCCCCGACCTTACTAGTCCCCAGCATAAACGTTATTTCCAGACTAAGCGTCCCGAATAAGACGCGGAATTCGAATTTATTGTAAATCAAGCCATCAAATGATTTAGCAATTCTATTAAACAAGTTTGATTTGATATGTTCCGACTTTTTTAAGCTCGCAAGCCTAAGAAAGCAGAACGAAAACTAAGATGAAAAAAAATTAAGACAAAGACCAATAAACCGAGAAAATTGAAAGACCTATTTAAACTACATGGATACATACATAGCGAAAAAATCAAGTTGCGGAGGGCGGTCCCTGAACCAACTCGTGGTTTCATTATAACAAGATCGGTTAACTTACAGATTTGTAGGTGAAGTTGTTTAATAAAAAAATTCTAGTGTATTCGAAGATATAAGGCACAATTGTAATCATTGTTGAATGACAAAAGTAAACATACCATTAGGAAGTGCATTAGTTCCAGGAGTTTCATATCATGCTTCTTCTGAAGGGCTTCATTGTAATCAAGGAGCGACATGCAATGAGTGCGCCACTTGGTGTATGCGCGAAGTCCTATTTCAGGGTAGACCAATGAAAAAGTTTCCCCTTTTTGGAAAAGCATCTTCATAGGACAGATGTCATCACACGTCTCCTCCGCACTGCACCGAGCACTCTGAAAAAACGAATATCAAATGAGTCATTGATTCGAGGAAGTAGCCGAAACATAACCACGCGCAAACGATTCCGGATGAATATACCAAATTTCATTGCACAAAGGTCAAAAAAGAATAATATTGAACATACACAAGTCTGATTCAGATTCAGAAAAAATTGCACCCATTGACGAATAAAAACTCGCTACAATTTTTGCTTCTTTATCTAGTTTCATAAGGGGAAGCGGATCAAAGACTCCTCTGATTTAACTTAAACAGAGACGATCAAGCCCTTGGCGAATCACATTGATCGTCTAGTATCAAAATCTGACGAGCCCATAAAAATAACAAGAGTTATTTTTACTTGCTGCACAAGTAGCTCTGAGTGCTCGCTTCGATCTCCGATCGAAAAGAAAATTATTTTCAGAAAAAGCGCGGCTGAGATTGTTTAAAATTTTAAATTCATTTTGCTTAACTGGAATTTTAAGTTTTCTTCCTCATCGAGCAGTCTGCATCTAGTAGCATTCCCTTGGTCTCAATATTACATGTCTAGGGTATAAAAAGCTAAGCCAAAAAGTTAAACAAGACTACTCATATCAGGGCAAAACCTTGAATGTTCTGACTACTCTTTAACTGGTCTCGAATGGTTTTTGGTAATTAAAAAATTGACAAAATATGTCATTTAGGCTGATAATATCAAAATTTAAGTTTTAAATTTGAGTCGTGTATACAATTAAAAAGACTGGTCGCATCAGGGCAAAACCCTGAATGTTCCGACTGCCCTTTAATTGGTCTCGAAAAAATTTTGGTAAAATGAATTTTGCCAAAACTATAAAATTTCGGCTAATAAAATCAAATTTAAAGAATTAAAATTTGAGTATTGTATGGAATTAATAAGACCAATTAATTGGCTCGATTCAATTTGGAACAATTTCGTAGTGCGGGATATGTCAACACGTGTAAAATATAAAAGTAAAAGAATAGACACACTTGCGGCAGGTTACTATAGTGGCGAGCAGATACGGGTGGGCACGTGGAGGATAAGGGATCAAACCCCGAGGGAGCAAAGAAATTTGTGAAATTGGACTGAATAAAAAAACGCCTTGATCATATATATTCCTCACATTCTTCAAAAGTCGGAACAAAAAGATCAAGTAGCCTGCCTCAATTCAATTTGGAACGAATTTGATGAGCCGAATAATTTGCCGCGCGTAAATAATTTGCGTTACACTTGCAGAATCAAAAATTCAAATGAGTTGTTTCGCTAGACTCATTTTAGATTGACCAGATAGCCTGGACAAGATAGTGGTCCGCGCGCCCGTTAGGCCAAGAGCCCCAAGAGAATATATATATTGAACAAACTACTTCAACGTAAAGCTCGCGATGAATGACTTTGGAAAAATTGGCCGCTTTTAACAAAAATTGAATCAAGATAGCATCAAAAAAAGAAACAGAGAAAAAACTTTTTTACTTTTAATTATTAAAAATACGAAACAAAAATTTCAATTTTTTTTGCGTTTTATTGGTTTACACAAGGAACTCAATTTTAACTCTAGTTTAAAAATGCTAAAAACATTTATTGAGAGCTTTACAGTCATGTAACTTGTTCAAAGAAACAAGAAACATCAGCATTTTTTTTTCTGTTTCCTTGAGTTCATTAACGCCTTTTTGTTCCGACTTTCGATACGAAAGTACCGACGGAATATTTGTGTTCGGGGAGGGTTTTTTTTTCTTCAGACAAATTTCGACTTTTTAACTAGCCATTTTTGACGGAAATTTTTCATAGCATTCAAAAGGTATTGTTGTCCTGAGCTTAAATTTGAAAAAATATTTCACCTGTGATTGTTTTTCGTAAGGTTATGAGGGTTTAAAGATTGCCATTTTGGCCATTTTGACCAATTTTGGGACAATTAACGCGCGATATAATTCGCTCTATTAACGCGTAAGCGGAGATTTAATCCGTCTTATAAATCGTTCCAAATTGGTTGAACGAAGCTTATTTGCCATAATTGGTTTGTTACAAGGAACAAAATCTCTCTTTTTGTACTTTATATGGCGTGTGGGGGGATGAATTCTATAAAAAATTTCAAATTTTAGAGAAAAAAAATTTTAATTTTATTTTTTTTTTACATTTAAAGTTTCCATGTTATTACTGCTCCATAGACCTTAAAAGACAGTCGGAACATTCAGGGCTTCGCCCTGATACGAGCAGTCCTGTTTTACTTTATGTAGGCTGAATTTTTTATACACTTTTCATTTATTATTGAGAGCAAAGGAAAGACTCTAAAAGCAGACTGCTCGGTGGGGAAATAGAAAATGAATTATAAAATTGACACATTTTATCTCCAAAAGTCAAGTTAAGCAAAATTAATTCAAAATGAAGCTTGACACAATTTAAGCCCTGTACTTCCCATGACAGTAGATTATCTATTTTAAACCAGAGTCGGTTAATCAAGTCTTATAAAAGGGGACAGGGAATTCTTTCGACAAAAAATACAACTAAGGAAATTTTTCATCGCTGTAAACCTATATATTCATAAAAACACCTTTCATAGGATTCCTGCTTAAAATTTATGCTGATAATCATAAAAATACGAAATTTTTATCCCGTTAGGTAATTTAGTATCCTTGATAATTTATAGGGTTACTGCATTCACCAACCTTTTGCAGAAGCCTTTACAAGTTGGGTTAAAATCGATCCTTTTCATAAACTTCGTGAGTCCGCCAAGATAAATGAATTTAATTTACAGTAGCGTGCGCAGGAAATTTTCGAGCTGGCAGTTTTTCGCAAAGTTTTCGGAAAATGTGTCGCCCTCTTTTTAGATCGATCAAATTGTTTTTTTTCGAACTTTCTCAAACGCACAAGAAATATCAAAAATTACTTCAGACGAAAAATCGCGTCAAATCGTTCTAGTTGGAAACTAAATATCATCTCTTATTACACAAAAGTATGTAGCTAATGTTTATCGTTTTCAGATAAATAGATGACTACATGAAGTATTTTGATAAACTTCAAATGATAAATTTTGAAACACGAGAAACGGAGATTGCACCACTTGCGATACATAGGTTAATCAATGTCATAGTGAAATTGGCAGACTTCTCGGCTGAGAAAATATACGTAACAAGATCGAAGAAGTAGATGACTTCCTCTTACCTTCTTGGAAACTGAGTATAAGTTTATGTCCTGTCTGCAATTCGCCTTCTCTGATCTAAAAGGAAAAATTATCCATAACCTTCAAGAGTGGTAGGTCAATAAACCGATGTACCAGCTCATCGAAAACGGGCAGATAATGTTAGCTGACCCCTAAACTTGCCAGGAATTATGCGCAACATTGTTGTTAATTAGGTTATACAGCTAAGGAATTGAAATATTGCAAAGGTAATCCCAAGTCATCACCAAAAACACACCTTTGTTTAGCTGGTAGTGTGTTGAGCAAGCAGTCATCTGCCGCTTTGTACATTGCCATGGGCAACGGCAAGAGTTCCAAAGTCAGACCAAATGTACAAGACTGCTTTTCTGAAACATCAATGGAGACACAAGGATGCTCGCATACATTATGAAATCAAGTTTTCATTTAGCAAATTCGTTAAGTTTTGTACCGGAAACAGTTTCATCAGGCGTCTTTTGTTGAGTGGTGTGATGTCGTTGAAAGTTTACTTGCAGCTCTAAATTGTCAGTTGGAAAAAGTTTGTCCACCTTCATCAGCAAATAGTGGTGTGACGAAGAGGCACCAGAGTACAAAAGATTCACAAACGACCCTGAAATCAGATAAAGAATCTATATTAAAAAAGAGCAAGCCAAAAGTCTTTTAGCTGAAGTCTTGAAGATGGTTTGTTCTTCCGTTTAAAGCAAGGAAACGGGCTATTAAATTGGTAAAATTAAGTGTCACATTCCTTTAGGTCAAATATTGGTCAAAGCTTTGCAATGATCCATTTTAGCAGAGAAAATGCTGCTTCACATGTTATTTTTCGAGAACAATAATTTAATTTATCCATCCTTTCTTCTTTGTTTCAATTTCAAATAAAGAAAAAATTTCACAAACTTTTCGAGAAAAGAAAATACACAAAACTGCTCGCATCAGAGCAAAACCCTCAATGTTTGGAATGCCCCGTAACGTCCATCAAAAAGTTTTTGCTTGTGAAACTGGTAAAATGTTTTAAAGTTGGATTTTTTATCTTTTTCATTATCCACTCACACGCAATGTAGCTTACAATGTGATGTGTTTTGAGCCTGATGACGTAATAACAAAACTTCTTGTATCAGAGCTGTCCTGAATGCGCCGACTGCCATTTGACGTATTTGAAAAAGCTTTTTATTATCTACAAAAACTAAAAAACTTAAAAATGGAACATAGAGCTAAAGCAAACAAAAATTAACAAGGAAGCTAGAGCCAAAAAAAAGACGAAGCCAGTGAGTCCAAATTGAAACAAAACCTTTAAAAATATCAAAAAACATCAAGAAAATTTTTATTCTTGGGTCTTGAGCGATGCTCAATTTGAGGAAAACATGTGAAGAAACACAATCGCCTAAGTTCAATTAGTACTGAAACAAAATTTTTCTAACGTTGACTAAAAAAAATTATTTTTCTATTTGCGTCTGCAGGATTCACGACGAGGGGACGGGCGAATAAACTGATATAAAATATACCAAAACTATGTATGCCGAAGAAATATTTGAAGCGCAAAATAAATATTAGAAAAATAAACAAATTAAACAAAATCAAAAATGGTAAAACTACAAACTACAGAAAAAATCCAATTTAAAATCAATAAACTAAAATTGCTCAAATCAGTGACAAATTACGGCTCGTGAAATTATTTCGATAAAAGAAAGCAATACAATGATATTTCAGCATTTACATTTTTCATGGATTTTTTTTCAATTTAAAAAAACGTGCACTAGGACGATATGTAACCATCACCTTTATTGTTCCAGCTATGAGCGCTACCCAGGCGCGGATCTAGGAATTTCTCGAGGGGGGGGGGGAAGGATTTTCAAAATATTGGCAAACATCAAATTGAGTTTTCTGAGCTCTTCCAAACCACTATAGCGGAGCTCAGTTTTGGTCAAAATTTCTGCGCCGCAGGCAAAATTCTTGAAAAACAGGCCCAGATTAGCGTTTTTAAGCACTTTTTGGAAAATTTCGACCGAAAAATCGCGTTTTTTGACGCGCGATTCCCCTCAAAATTAGTACAGATTGGCGCCGTTGCGCCTTCAGAAAATTTTAAGATCAGTCAGCCAAAAATGGATATCTCAAAATAGTACAAAGGGGGACCCTTTGGGTCGGCAGGGGGTCGAATTCCTGAGAAAGTTACAAGCGCTACCTGTAAATTAAATGTAAAGCAGTCGTTGAATTTCTTAAGAAAACCTAACATCTCTCATACAAATTCTGTTCACAAAATTACTTACGGGGAAAAAGTCTTTTCCGATTATAATACCCTTGCTACATACCAAATAGACAAAAATGGCTATTTAAAAACCCAGAAAATTGCCAAAAATGATCACAGATGATATATTCTTAATTCGATATCGGTCTGAAAAAAAGCACACGAAGCATAGAAACTCCGTCATTTTCCTCGAATGAAAAAGGGGCAATTAGACCAACATGCTAGCCTCGATTTGGAGTGAGTTCCCAAAGTGGCATTTTTCAGCTCCCCACAAAAATACGATTGGCAGAGAATCTATGAAAAGTTGTCCAGCCTGACTTGGCATAACCCGTTTCTATTAAATTATTTTCCCCACATTCCAGACTGAATTATTTTGTGAGTTTTGTTAATTAAATCTGAGCCTGATTGGATTGCCGCTTAAGCTTTAATAGGACAAAATATATCGTGCGTCAATTATCCCGATGTGGCATTTTTCAGATTCCCATAATATTCAGATTCGCAGAGGATCTATGAAAGGCTCTTCAGCCTGTCTTAGCATAGTCCGTTTCTATTAATTCCCCACATTCCAGACTGAACCATTTTATTTTACATAAAAAATTAACAAAAAATGACCACAGGTGAAAAAACTTTTTAATTTTGAGCTCAGGCCATTGACGTATTTCAGATAGCATAAGACAATTCCGTCCAAAATTGCTACGTAAAAGGTCAAAAATAGTGTGAAAAAAACTTATTGAGCACCATAATGCTCCGGAAAAATTGTTAACTCGAAAAGAGATCAGTTCAAGGTCGTCTTCGAAATTTTGGAATTTAGTCGTTCTAAAATTCATAGACCAAATATAGCTGCTGCCATTAGGTTTATCAGACTACAGTGCTGATTTAAATTAACCGGACAAAACGCGTTAACTTGAAATTTAAAACGCGTTTTTCTCAAATTGAGTTGAGTTTAGGTGAAAATTCATGAAGACAAAACTTGTTTAAAATTTTAGCAGAATTAATATGGTGTAACTTGTTTTGCGAAATTCAGGCAAAAATGGGTCTTTTTGGCTTTTCGTAGTTAATCAAAAATTACGCCAAAAACACCCAATCGATCACAGACATAGTTATATCAAAGTGAGCCCCTGTGTAGCCCCACAAACTTTAAGAAGGGTATATTCTCCAAAACATTGTATAAGTTAATTTATTTTTGTTTGATAGACAAAAAAGGTCGTTTTTACTTTATGAAATACCAACTTTTTATTTAAAAACTATTTTTAAACGGTTTGCCATTTTTTTTTGAAGAATATACCCTCCTTAAACTTTGTGGGGCTACACAAAGGGCTCACTTTGATATAAATATGTCTGTGATCGATTGGGTGTTTTAGGCGTAATTTTTGATTAACTACGAAAAACCAAAATGACCCATTTTTGGGGTAAAATGTTGGCCCCGAATTTCGCAAAACAAGTTACACCATATTAATTCTGCTAAAATTTTAAACAAGTTTTGTCTTCATGAGTTTTCACCTAAAGTCAACCCAATTTGAGAAAAACGCGTTTGAAATTTCAAGTTTAACGCGTTCTGTCCGGTTAATTTAAATCAGCAATGTAGATCCAACATATTCGTGCATGAGTTTTGCTGTGAAAATCATTGCTTTGGCGAATTAGTACACGTTTCTTGCTCCTGCAAAAAGATTCATGTTTCCTCATTTGAGAGTATCGAAATTAATAACGGTAGTATACTAACGGTACGTTTTGTCAGCTTTCCATTTGAGTTTTCCAGGATGAACCGACTGAACTTTTACCGCAAAGAAAGTATCTTTATAGCATCGCAAACTCTGATTATCGCAGTTAGCCAGAGAAACACTAAAACAAAGATGCAAATGACTAGAATTGTTAACTTCATTCACTCCAGAGCCATTTTCATAAGCAGCGCAATTTCTGGCTCGCAAACAGTGCCGAAGTTATAGGTTTACATCAGCCTTTTCAATCGTGGGTTCACGACTGCGTGGGTGTTTTACAATATTCAGTTTCGAATGTGCAGGTTTGAATGCATCTGAATAGTTTATGCAGTCCATACACAGAGGCCTCGCACCACTAGCGCTACAAAATTATAAACAACTTTGAGAAGAAATGGCTGTAAATTGTCACTTTTTTACTTTTCTACCGTTTCCCTGTCCCGTGATGCAGTTTTCTGCGTTTTTCTAACCTATGTCCACGAGGTCATGAAATTGACATGAGGTTGCATTAGGGACTTGCGAACATACTTTGTACTCCAATACAATTTCGTAAAACACTGTTACACTGAAAATGATGATGTTTACAGACAAAATGGCATGCTATGGGGCATCCCAAACTCGTAACTAACCGCTTCTTTTTGGTTTGAAAAAATTGTAAAAAACTGTTCCACGGCCGATTTCCAACTGGGAAAAAATCGAAAGATACTTCCAGTTTTTTTAACGTGTAGTGCAGGCATCAAACTGATCTAGCTCAAAAACTAATTCAAATTGAATTGAAGCAGACTAATCGATCTAAGTAAAGTAATAGCAGTAGACACAAACATGTTTACTTACGACGCATTATTAGGCAATTAAAACTTATAACATAAACTGAAACCACCCATGTCCAGTCATCTTGAAAATCTTGCAAGATTTTGAAGGTATATCAACGATATCAAAGAAACTTTAAGATTGAAGATCTTGCAGATTCTTCAAAAAATTGAAGAATCTTGAAGATCTTTTCAAAAAATCACTTTGAGAAATTATCTGCTCTGCTGCCGAAAGCATCTTATACGTTTCTGAGGATATATTAAAGTAGATTGGAAACTTATTTACCTTGAAAAAGTCGGAAGTATTTTAAGATTTATCGAAAATAGCAGGAAAACTTTAGAATGCTTCCAACATTTTTCGAGTAAATAAGTTTCCAACCTACATGAATATATCCTGAAACGTATGGGATGGTTCCGGCAGCCCAACAGATGATTTTGTTTTGAAGTGAATTCTTGAAAAGCTCTTCAAGCTTCTTCAATTTTTTTGAAGAACCTTCAAGGTCTTTAAACATATGCAAGAAAAAAAAACGAAACATTTCATAGCAAATTGATGAGAACTCACATAGCAAGCGTCTCCGAAGAACCATTACCAAGATCAAACAATGTTATTTTCACAGATAACGTTTTTAGAAATTTTTTTTAGGAATACCTTTTGAAAATTAGAGGGGTAAAGATGAAAACTTCAGGAAAAACCAAAATCAATTTCAATTTAAGTAAAAATTGGTTAAATCAGAAGACACCACCATGCTTTGGAAACTAAGCCGACAAAAATAGGAAGACAAGCGATAGCGATAGTCCGACAATTAAATTTCTCCCAGAAAATTTTTGGGTTCAAACTGAAAAAAATAACGACCAGTCCTATTTTTCGTTAGAAGTTGGTTAGTTGCGTTTGAAAAGAAAATTTGAGATCCTTTTGAGAAGTGCTAACGTTCTTATTCTCATGCTAGCTGAACCAGTAATCTGAAGCCCCTGTATGACCGACAGCGTGAGAGCTGCAGTCTCACAAATGGTCATGTTGCATATTTATGTCGTATTAAATTAAATCTTAAAGGGCTGGTGCAAAAAAGCCAAAAAGAAAACAAAAGAAATACTTTGTTTAGAAAAACATATACTTACTTCAAGTTGAATATAAACAAGGATAACCGGTTGCTCAAAATTAAATTAAGTTTTCTGAGATCTTGTTAACTATTCCCCCCTTTGAATCTTGTAAAGTATCCCCCCTCCCTATGCATGTATTATTTTTGACAACCATTTCTGTATAAAATATGCATTTCAAAAAAGACAACAATTAACTGGATTTTCATTTTTGCGCATTTGTATTTGTAATATTCACTGTTTATATTATACCCACGTAAAAAATTTAAACATATTTTATGAAAATTGTTTTAAGCTATTGAAAATGTGGCCACCAAAGTTGAATTTCTGAAAATCGAAATAGGGAGGGGGGAATAGTTAACAAGATCCGTTTTTGAATAATTTTCGGAATCCGAATCACGACTATTACCCGCACCGGAGTTCCTAATCGATTATAATGGAAAACTGTTGTCAAAATTGTTGTCATTATAATCCATTATTGTTGCAAATTTAGACCACGAAATCGATTATATTGTCATTATAATCGATTATTTTTGTTCATTTTTCGATTATTTTCTTACAACGGATTATCATCTTTATAATTTTTTGCAAAATCAATTGCAAAACTTGCAACACTTCTGCGTTACCTAACCCCCACCCCCCCCCCCCCCCCATCCGCATTTGCCCAACCCCCATCCCCTACGTTTATCTCTACGCCCACCCCCATGTTTACTTCATTACGAGGTCAAACTGTGCATTTTGTGCATTGTAATTGGATTCCGCAACAAAGACGATCCCTTTGTTCTTCTTTTGTTCTATACTTTCCTTTGATCGTCCCGACAAAATTTTAACATGTTTAAACACTTGTCGCTGGATTCCAGGAACATACAGACACAAAATTGGCGCCTATCCAGTGCACAGTTTGACCTCGTAATGTAAAGTTTACCCCCAAACCCCTACCCCCCGTTTGTTTACCATTTTGAACGGGGGGGGGGGTGGGTAAACAAGGGGGGGGGGGGCAAACAGGAAGGGGGTAAACGGGGTATATAAAACAAAAATTATAAAAATTGAGAAAAGAAATGTAACAATTTATGAAACCTAATACGTAGCAACTGCACTAAACAGGAAATGCTAACCTCTAGAAAAAATCCATTTTAATTGATTATAACCGATTATAAGGTATTATATTGGCATAAAAAATTTAAGAAACATAATCCATTTTTATTGTATTATAATAGATTATAATATTGGATTAGAACCTCTAGATTAGAAACTAACTTCTAGAAAAACCCATTATAATTGACTATAACCGATTATAAGGGATTATATTGACATAAAATATAAGAAACATAATCCATTTTTATTGGATTATAATCGATTATAATGTATTACATTGATATAAAAATAGTAAGATTATAATCCATTTTTGATGGATTATAATAGATTTTTTGTGTAATTTTAAAGATACTGACTATAAAATGACAATATAATCGGTTATTATCCATGGAACTCCAGTACGGGTAGCGCTTCCCTACATTTCCTTCCCTTCATTTCGTGAAGCGGTCGAAACAATATGAATGAACACAATTTGAGAATGCACTGAAATAGATAACTCTAAATAAACGTGAGCACGGCAGATTTTTAGTTAGAGTTCTATTGCTACCTCGACAAAAATTATCGTGTTTTGTTTTAAAATCCAGAAAAAACGCGAAAGATTAACCCAGCCGATTCCGAATTTGAGCCAAAAACACGGAATCTCAACAGTTCTTCGCTTGCATCTTGTGCGCACTCGGAACGATTAAAAGCCACTTACTTCTCAATTTCTTCTCCGGCACCGAAGTCACAACTGCCCCGTCTTCCGTTCATTTTAGCCTCTGTCGTCTTTTCTGTAGATTCAGGAAAATCATCATTTGACCATTCCTGGTGAAAAAATCCACCTTTTTTCTTCGAATTAAATGGAAGCCAAAACATAACTCAAAAGGAAAAGTTCTGGAAAGTTTCTAAAACCTAGCGGCGGCCGAAAGTTGAGTATACAGCTATTTTCAACTAAAATCAAAAGTTTCAACCCTTAAATTTTTCTAAGGGCGCTTTTAGCGCCTTTACATACTAACTTTGCAAGGAAGCGCACGTTGAAAAAACGCAATTTTTGGTCCAAATTTTTGACCTGTTTTGGTCAAAATTTTTGATGGCATTTTTGACTTGTTTATTTTCAAATATTGCCAGCGGCGCAAACAGTTTTGTCAAAACAGGGTCTTCATAGTGTTCTGGGAGCGCTCGGAAAATCAATTTGATCCACATTAAAAGTTTTGGAAATACCCGCTTCCCCTTGAGAAGATCATGGATCCGCGCCTGTACCGACCTGTAATGGCTTGAACCTAATCGAACACTGATCGCCGCGAAAATAGAGACCAACCCCATACCGACCTGTAATGGCTTGGAACAAACACTACCGCCGTATAGGTTTATTGATTCATGCGTTTCCGGTAGATAGCTACATCGGCTCATTTAACCACAAATTGCACACCTCAATTTAGTTTTTGTCGTCTCAATTTTCTAGTTTTTTGATGCAGGTTTTTGTAAATTTTCCTAGTTTTTTCCTAGCCCAAACCTAGCGGTCTGAATGAGTGAAGTAAAATAGAAAGCATGGCCACAATAAGTTTCCGACAGTTGCACACCTGATCTATCGGCTGATTCTGATTCCTGTCGACCACTTTGATTGTGACGGCATTGCTCTTACCACTTAGGTGTCTCCTCTGCCCACCACAAAACGTATCGACTGTGACGTAGCACACCAAGGAAACATATCCAATCTTACTGAAATCAGTCAAAACAAGGAAGCTATCATTATTGCACAGAGGCGAAGAAGAGCTTAGCACCAATTGCGATAGAAAAACGAATCACTCTCACTACTTGCAGATCAACCGACAAATCGAGAAAACAAATTTCAAAGTTTTTCTGAAAAAAATTAAATAATTTGAAAAAAAAATCAGAAATCTTGAATCCGAAATTTTACAAAAAGAAACGAAGCATCGCACTACTAGCAAACAGAGGCGAAGCAGAGCTTCAAACCACATGCGATACAAAAATCAATAAATGTAATTAAAATCAGATGGAACCAATAATCAAAAAGAAGAAAAAACCAAATAACTTTTCTACAGACACGCTTTGCGCCAAAAAAAATATAAGGACGAAAGCTGAAATTCGCAAACACTAGCAAAAATACGACAAAAAAGCAGCTTTATAAAGTGAAATAAGAAAAGATAGAAATAAGCTTCGAATTAGTAAAACTTTGGTACTTATGTGCTCCGAACCTGCGAGATCGAGAATCGGAGTCTCACGCCCTGCCCTATCGGCCACGAACGCTTAACAACCGGCAAACATTAGTTAGAAATAAAGCAGCTACATATGCTAACAAATTGCCAATATGCGATGCAGCAACCGTGGTACCAAACAAAAACAGACTCAATTTTGCAAGTAGTACTTTGGAATATAACAAACTAAAGGCATCCACACTAATTTTGCATGTAATAAATTGGGAAGCGTAAAACTATATTATAAAAAAATTATGCGTTTCAATAAACTGCGAGATATATGGGTTTTAAAATTTCTGAAATAGAGTTTATATAACTTTTTTGTTGTTTGAAACAAATAGCATTTTTCGGTTCATTCGATTAGCTTAAAATCTATCAACTATTTTATGTTGGTTGTAAATTTACCTACTTCGATTTCAGTAAATCGTTTTTTTTTGTTTTTTTTTCTTTTTTATATAGAAAAGTTTTCTGCTTATAAGATATCGGTTTACAGGACTTTTTTTGAAATGTTTGAAAAGCAAAAAAAAACAATCAAATTGTTTTGAGGATGGAATATATTTTTTTGAGCTTTTAAGTTTTTCTTATTACACTAGCCAACTTCAGTGACTACGACTTTTTTCTAATCTAAGTTGCAAACATTGGTGCCAATTTTGGGGCACTTTTACGGCTCTTTGAAAGCATGTGTATTGGCATTCGAATTGTAATAAACAGTTGATAGATTTTAAATTAATCAAATGAACCGAAAAAAGCTATTTGTTTCAAACAACATAAAAGATATAACCCATATATCTCACAGTTTAATTTTTTTGCTATTCAAACATTTCAAAAAAAGTCCTGTAAACCGATATCTTATAAGCAGAAAACCTTTCTATATAAAAAAAAGAAAAAAAAACAAAAAAAACGATATACTGAAATCGAAGTAAGTAAATTTACAACCAACATAACATCGAAAAAAAAAACGGGAATTTGAAATGCAGACATGCTCAAAAATGTTCTGTTCTCCGTCTGTCTGTTGGTTGAGGAAAGTAGAAATGGAGATAGCCATAATTTTAATCATCCTATGAACAAAGTTAGTTGAGGCAAAAAAGTCCAGTGTCCGATTGCAATACACTTGCTTATCGCCAGTATAACTACGAAAACTATTAATCTTGATTGAAAGCACAGTTTGAGTGCAACTTTGAGTGGTATGAGATTATATTTTAACAAGGGCAAATTTATGATTTTTGCTAGTGTTCTAAAATTTGGACGACAGTCGGCTGATTATGTTTTCAAACATTTGTTTGAAGCAATTTTCAGGTCTGATTACTTTTAGCCGCCCATGTTTATTTCGAAAACGACATGTTTCTCTGAACTGTATTATAAGGCAACTTTAATTATGTAACCATCAGTAAGATGTTTCTTCACAAACTCACTCAAACAAGACTGCTCGTATCAGGGCGAAGCCCTGAATGTTCCGACTGCCTTTTAAGGATTATGGAGCAGTGATAACTTTAAACAATTAAATAAAATAAAACAAAATGATTTTTTTTTCTCTAAAATTTGAATTTTTTAAATGAAAATCATCCCCTCACACGCCATATAAAGTACCAAAATGATAAATTTCGCTCCTTGTAACAAATCAACCAGTTTAGAACGATTTCTAAGACGGATTAACTCTCCGCTAACGCGTTAATAGCGTGAAATATATCGCGCGGTAATTGTCCCGAGATGGCCAAAATACCAATCTTTAAACCCCCGTAACTTTACGAAAAATGATAACAGGTGAAATATCTTTTCAAATTTGAGCTCAGGACAACAATAACTTTCGAATGATTTTAAAAAAATTCCGTCAAAATTGGATAGTTAAAAAGTCGAAATTTGTCTGAAGAAAAAAACCCACAAATAATCCATTAATTTCGTATCGACAGTCGCAACAACAAGACTGCTCGTATCAGGGCAAAACCCTGAAGGTTCCGACTGCCTTTTAAGGTTTATGGAGCAGTAATAACATTTAAAAAAATTAATGAAACAAAACAAAATGAAAAAAAAAATTTCAAAAATTGAAATTTTGTATGAAAATCATCCCCCACACGCCATATTAAGTACAAAAGGATAGATTTCGCTCCTTGTAACAAATCAATTATGGCTAAAAAAGCTTTTGTTATCCAATTTGGAACGATTTCTAAGACGGATTAACTCTCCGCTTACGCGTTAATAGCGCGAAATATATCGCGCGTTAATTGTCCCAAATTGGCCAAAATGACAATCTTTAAACCCCCGTAACTTTACAAAAAATAATTACCTGTGAAATATCTTTTCAAATTTGAGCTCAGGACATCAATACCTTTCGAATGACTTTTAAAAAATACGTCAAAAATGGCTAGTTAAAAAGTCGAAACTTGTCTGAACAAAAAAAAAACCACCCCGAGCACAAATATTCCGTTATTTTGTATCGAAAGTTGGAACAAAAATCCATACATGAAAAAGAAAATTGACATACTAGTATTAAACTGAAACATAAAAGCATACCTTGGACAAAATAAAAACTTGTTGTCGGAGAGAACTTTAGTGGTATGCGATCCATCGTTCCAATGGTAAGTAACTACACCGTCTGGGAGCTCTTTGTTGGCTAAATTAAGTTGAAGTGGGGTGCATTCTTCTAATACTACTGTCAAAGACTCGCTTACTATCTGAAACGAATCAAAACCTTAGTTTACAAACAGAAAATGAAAGAATAACAGCGACCATTCAAACGAGCACGACTGACCTTCGGAGACTCAATACTATCTGTCACATCTACAACGCCGAGTCTATAGCGGCGCCTCCAAGCCAAGTTGCTTGAAACCAGAGTTAGGTCAAATCTAAACGAAACATTGAAAAGGAGCTTTAAAAAATAAAGAAGCTGATTTCCGTTGATTCTCGAATAGAGCTATTGCGCATTGTCGACTTAGATCAGTCCAGATAGAAAATCGAAAAAATAAATAGACCACATCATGATACCAATGATATTTCAAAACGCATTGATAGACTTTTCTCCAAAACAAAAGCTGACTATGATACTGATCACGACCCAATTGTTGGATGTTACGCTCGAAAACGAGAAATCTTATTCTGAACGTAACTACAAGGCCTGTATATTTTTGTAAATGGAACAAGGCGCGGCAATTGACTCGAATTGGCGGCTGACTGACACCCAATTAGGCGCATGCAAAAATACTTAACACCTAACGGTCAAATGCAGACTATCCAGATCAGGGGGTGGATCTAGGACTTTCACTGGAGGGGAGGTGGGTTTGCGGTTTTTTTTTACAAATCGAGCTCAAAAATTTTCCGAGCTCTCCCAGAGCAGTAAAGAGAGCTTGTTTTGACAAAATTTTCTCTACCTCAGGCAAAAAAAGTCCGAAAAGTGGTTTTAGGCACTTATAGGAAAATGTTTACTAAAAAATCGCATTTTTTCAGCGCACGCTTCCCCCTCATAATTAATAAATAATATAGGCGCCAAAGGCGCCTTTAGACAAATTTTGGGGTCCATCAGCCTAAACTGGATATCTCAAAATAGTACAAAGGGGGCCACTTTGGGTTGGCAGGAAGTCCAACCTCTAAAAGGGGTTTCAAACTTGCTTTTTAGTTTTTTTTCGTTTGTCGTCAGGAAAATAAAGGAAAATGGTCGTCAGGAAAAAAAAGACTGCTGCGGATGTGCAGTTTTTCCGGGAAAAAAAATTCATAAAAATGTAAAAAGTTATCAGAACAAAACAAAAATTATACTGTATTTGGAAATACCAGCGCATTAGAAATGACTGATTGAGAAAAATTAATACGAATAATTACTAAGGGAAATCAACATCGCGAAAGTTTACAATAAAAAATAATGAACAACAGTAGTAACAAAACTCAGTTAAAAATTTCGAAGCAACTGTTGAAAACAATATTCTGACTTGAAATACAGAAGTCATGCGATGTATTCGTATCCAGGGGTGGATCTAGGATTTTCTCGAGAGGGGGGGGGGGATTTTCCAAAGTTTTTTGACCTATTTTTTCAGATTAACCAAATTGATTTTCCGAGCGCTCCCAGAATACTATTAAGTCTCCAATTTCACCAAAAATTTTGCGCCGCAGGTAACTTTTATAAATAAAAACGGGTCAAAGGTGCCATTTGTGAGCACTTTTAACCAAAAAATAGCGTTTTTTCGGCGCGCGCTCTCCTTCAAAAATATAAAGACTAACCCTACGCCTTTATAAAAATTGTAGGGTTAGTCGTACAATTGTCACAAAATAATACCAAAGAGGGACCCTTTGGTTGGTGAGGGGGTCGAACCAAACTTTTATGCATCTTTTGGATAGTTTATACCAAACAATTGCATTTTTTGGTGCGCGATGCCCCCTCAAAAATAGTATAAGATTGCGCTAAAGGCGCTTTTAGAAAAATTTGGGGTCTGTCAGCCAAAAATAGACGACTTGAAAAAGTTACAAAGAGGAGAGGGCTTTGGGTTGGCAGGGAGTTGAATCATTGAGGGAGGGGGGGGGCAACATTCCCCGCAATCCTCTACTAATCCACATCCAGGAAAATGGAGAACTCCTTGTTGGAGAATTCAAACAATCGTAAGAACGGAAGTAATATTACAGCAGCGAGTTACAAGATAACCTGCAGTTAGTGGTAGCTGAATGTATCGAATGCTGCACTGAATATCGTTGGTTACAGCTAACACATAATCAATATTTAGTTTGATGTAGCAAGCAAGTTTTCAAATCGGATCAAACAATTTTCAAATTGAGCATAATTATGCTCGTCAAAAATTTTCTTCACATACTGTGATAAGCTGAGATCGTTAGAGAACCACTCCAAGATCATGACACTCCTTTGATTTTTAAATGATAGCTATCAATCCTCGGCTGATTCTCTCTAACTTTTTGTTATAAATTGTTCATCTTAGCAAGAGTTTCCTCTTTTTGAAACGTATCTCTGTAACGCCTCAGTTTTAGTGGTTGAAGATTGGTTACCGTGGATATCAGTCTATTGAAATATTCTCGGGAATCATCTGAAACAACTTCTATCAGAATATACTCATTTGCGTCTTCTTCGCCATGAGCTCGTATGACTATGACAGCAATCAACTCCTTCCAACATGTGGTGAATCAAAACAAAAACTAAAATAAATTTGAAAAACGAGACCTTTTGCGTTTCTCTATTGTTGTTGGTAATTGGACTAATTGAAGTTAATATATTTGGTTGGAACAAGAAAACTATTGAAAACTATAATAGGAACAAAGTACTATGAGTTTATGTATGAATGTGGCGCATTAAAATATTATATGTTACTATCAAGACTAAAGAATTTGAAAAAAAAACTTTTTTTGTAACCACTAAGCTCTGGTAGCCGGAAATGTACATCTGATTTTCAGGTCAGAATTGCATTTATATTCTGTTTATGATAGTGGGTCGCATTCTCCCAAGTACTATTTTCGTTGAATTCATTTTTACTTGTTGAGGTCTATAAATTTATAGTCCTACTAACATACTCATGCTTAGTTACGCCTTCTTAGTTATCGATGAAGTGCTCATTTTCGGGTTTGAATTCATGTTCGAAGGTGGGTCTGATGTACCGATTGAGCCGTTTTAGATAACAGCTCTACTTGTCGGCTCTGATTTTTTTTATAGAGACCGAGAAGAAATATTCTAGGAGGTTATCTCCTTGCGTTTTATGTAGGAAGCCTCAGGATTCAAATTTGTATCGTCAAGTGAATGTGTGATGTCACTCAAACTTCAGCATCTAGTAGTGATTCATAGCGTGTTGTTTTGTGTTGGCTGTAAACGGTGTTCAGTGTTATCAATATTATAAGTGTTACTCAGTGCGATGACCTAAATCGAACCAGCATAGCGTGGGATTTTTCTCACAATTGCCTGGTTAGTTGGGCTGAGTGTTTATTTGGAGCAGATTCGATTAAAGCTGACAGTTTTTTTGCAGTAAAATTTTTTTCAAGGTTTTCAGAGGTTTTATTGCAGTGCTCACTGGAGTTGATTTGGCTGTGTACAATGATGTCCATTTAAAACAAAAAACAATTTAAATTAATTTATGCGCCCACTCAATTCAAATGAAAAATCTTTAATTTAAATCGAACAATTTAAATTGAAAAAAATTAAATTGCTCGCGCAGTATTCGATCCGACGCTAAATTACACAAATTAATAATGTAAATTTAGTTCACTTTACACAGTTCCGCGGAAAAAGCAAGCACTCTAAGTTTTCAGGACAAAATTGATAAGATTTTGTTGCAAATAGATATTAGTCTAATACCGATCTTAATCTTACTCTTATATCTCCTAGTCTCAATAGATCTAGTGTATACAGGTTTATGCGAGTTAGTTCTTGGAGTTTATTCAGAAGGAGAACAAATGTATTCAAAGTTTTATTTAATTTGTTCTGGTGCTAAAACTACAAGTAGTTTCAGCACTTACAAATAAGTGTGAATGTTAGTGATGGAATATGATTGGTTAGTTATAAATATTTTATAGTGGTATTCCATCATAAATATTATTGGTCTATAAATACTAGTTTAGAACTGGTTCCAGTAGCTACTTTAATCTTGTCATTCACGTGTAGACGAACTTGGAGGAGACATTAAGAGGTAAAACAAGGCCTGGAATAACACACCATGTTTCAACATCCCAAAATTAGAGTTTCTGTCTCTACAAGTGTATTAGTCAATTGTAGAGACACAGCATCTTATTGCAGGATGGTGGAACAAGGTGTCGCAAACTATTCTCGGAGGTAAGTAAAAACCATATAGTGAGGCTAATTGAAAGAATTGAGCGGGCAATATCTGAGTTGATGGTATCGGTCAATAGTAACGAATGATGCAATCAATTCTACAGCAATTAATAGTGTTTTATGGGGTGGCGTCCCTCATGCTTGAAGGACCGAATGCTTGAAATTAATTTTAGCTTACTTTCAGCCAATCAGAATTGAGCATTCAAGAACTCAAAATAAATCGCGAAAATCTCAAAGTAAGAAAATAAATCCAGGTCATTAGTGTTAATATTGACCGATTAGATAATAAGCAGATGAGTTTTCAAGACTGAAAAATACTTATGATTTCGACCTCATCAACTTGATGATTATCTGAATAGTATTGCGGTTGTAACCCGCAATTTGTAATATTTTTGATTATTTTCCACTGATTTAATACATTTTCTGTTAATATTGACTTCGATTTTGTGAGAAAGGCATTTAGCCAATAGAAACGCTTAGCAATTCTGATTGGTTCAAATTTTTCAAGCATTCGGTCCTTCAAGCATGAGATCCCTCCACGTTTTGTGGTATGGATTATTCATGTCAGTTATTTGAGTAGAATGAGATGAGGCACCTGAGCACATTAGTTGTTTCCTTTTCTAAAGCAGTGCTCGGGCTCGTGGAGATTTATATTCAAAGTAAACTCATGTACTAGTAACCTCATGTTTACGAGATTTGCTAAAGTAGAGAGCAATGCAAATATTCGGTAGCTCTCATATTCTTTGAGATTTTTTTTGTTTCAGATAGGGGGACTCTACTCTCATTTTCTAGTTTTTTGGTAGAATAGCATCATTGCTTGTTGAAAAAATTTTCAATTCGCTCAAATATTTGAAGATTTGTTTCTCAAGTGGCGCTATGTTAAATCTCTCAAGAGCTTTGCTTTTTACAAGACTTTTTTCAATATTGAAGGATTTTTATTCGTTAAAATCTTTGAAAATGAATGCTAGACCACCTCCTTTGTAGCGGTTGTAAGATCGGTTTTGAGCGAAGTTTTTTACCCAGCAGAGGGCTTCAGTTTTTTGGTGAAAAAAGAGTATTTAGTACTCTTTGTTCATATGTGTCTTATAATACCTT